AGTGTGCTTCCAATTATAAATTTAGTACCCTTAAGGTTACTATTAGGCAACCTAATAGTTAGATAGTTATACTCTTGTACTTTCTTCAACAGACAACCATCCTTCCAAATATAATGTTTTGCTCTAAAGAACCATTAAATGAAAGTATATGACATTATGTAACATAAGTATGCATTTTTCACTACAACAAAATGATGAAATTTCAACGGGAAGTTCCAATACAAATATATTTTAATGGAATTGGAATTCCCACAAAAATATTCGGTTAGAATGAGTTTTCCATTGGAATTTTTCTTAGATTTTGATGATTCCAACAGCAGATTTTCCAACGGAAACGGAAACTGCATATTCCAGCGGGAATTCCTACGGTAAAAAACCGTTGGAAAAATAGTCGTTGGAATCATCATATTCCATCTAAAATTCCAATTAAAATTCCAATGGAAAAGTCATTCCAACACGATATTTTTGTTGGAATTTCTGTTGGAATCATTCCGACGGAAGCTATACCATTATAATATCTGTTGGAATTTCCGTTAGAATATATTAACTACAAATGCACATGTTGACTATAGTGCCATAAATTCTTTGTGTAGGTCCATCTGCTATCAGCCTATCACCAGTGGTTTACATTTGACATATATCCAATCACAGTTTTCACTCAATAATGCAATCCAAGAAAGCTACCAATTACCTACTAACAATCAAACTAACCTTTGTAAAATCATCAACAGCAGAAACTCACATCCTATCATGATAATGATCTAAAGCAAAACAGAAGGGAATGTGTCTGTTTATTTATTATTGCTTTTTTTTTTTCCCTAAATCAATTTTAGTAGAGAATAGATATTTTAATTTCAATTAACCACATCTAAAAAGTACCAATTGCTCATCAACTGATCTTCAAATCAAAAAAACCCCAAAAAGTTTAATCTCACCTCAATCGGCGAAAGATCCGCCGCGAAGAAATCCGCGGCCGAGACGTACCGGCCGGCGAGCTTGGAGCAGATCTGGGAATCCGCCAAACACGCCCTTATCCTCCGCCAGCTGTCGCTGTCGGCGATCCGGTCCCTGAGCCAGGACGAGTAACCCCCGAGCCTGTACTCGCGAGAGGCCATCCCGTCGACCGGGTACGCGCCGTCGGGGCGCGTGACGACGAACGCGAGCACGAGGAGCGAGAGGAGAAGGGCGATGAGGATGAACATGCAGACGAGGTAGAGGCCGAGGAGGCCCTCCTTCTTCCAGTAGGCGCCGACGAATCCGGCGAGGGTGACGAGCAGGAAGGCGAGGCCGAGGACGACGAGCGGCCACCGGAGCCAGTGGATGCACTCGTTGTCGGTCTGGGCGGCGAGCCATATGCCGGAGGCTATGATGGGGACGGAGCAGAGCAGGGCGACGAAGTTTACGATGGCGGTGATGTTATTGCTCAGCGCCATGGGCGGCGGCGGGGCGGTGGCTTTTGCGGGGTGAATTTGGGGGGAATGACAAAAGCAGTGTAAAAAGCTGCTGATTTTGTGAGAATATTTGAGAAGAGTGACGTTGAATGTATGGGAAAGAAAGTCGGCGTTGAATAGTTAAGCAAGGGTATAGTAAAAGTCACTCCAACGAGGAAATGTTACGGTCTCGTTACGGTACCATCCCGTCAGATGTTTTAACTGTTAGATCCACGTGTAGTTAGATAAGATAGATGATCTAACGGCTAAAACACCTGACGAGATGGTACCGTAACGGGATCATAACATTTCCCCACTCCAATGTAGGGTTTAAGTTATTTTTTTCTCGGGAATGATAGGGAATTCTCGGAGAACAACCAAATAAATACAGAGCTTTTACAGAAAAAAAAAAAAAAAAAAAAACGGGCACTATCCGAACAAATTAAACAACTGAGGGCTGAAAACGCCAGAGACGTACAACAACCGGTACAACATAGACAAATAAAAATAAAAACACATGCCTGACTAGAGGCAGTCGGCTAAACACTAAGCCCTCTTTCCGTATAAAACAAAGATAACAAATGCACGAAACTTGTGAAATCACCGAAGAAAACTAGCCATTGTACTGCAAACAAGACCTAACTAGCTCTGTGCGCGATTGCTTTGAAACATGCATCCACCTCCATAAACTTCGTCTACTCACTCATCGCTACTTGGACTGTGTTCTTCTCGGGTCTCCAAATGCCTTTTAACTTCCACAACTTACGCAACTTCCAGAGCCATCATAGTTTACATGTTGTCAACTGTATCCTGGCTTCCGAAGTCTCCGAGTTGTCAACAGAACATATGAACCCCATCAATCCCTAAACCTACACTTATCACTGTCCATGTTTTCCTAGCTTACTGATGCCTATTTCCAGACTGTTCGAGCTCTCATGCACCTGAAAAATACATGTTCAACTGTCTCTGCTTCCTCCCCACAACTGCTGCACATCATATCTACTATGATACAACATTTTCTAACATTCACATTCACTGGTATGATTCCATTAAAGCATTTCCACACAAAATGTTTAATTTTACCTTGGACTCTCAACTTTCAGCTTCTCATTTTAATTTTCCTTTCCCTTTCAGCTATGGTACTACCTTCTGCTATGTTCAATTGTTGCAACTTCTTACTCATCAGAAAAGAATAGGATGCAGCAACTGAGACCCTCCCATTTGTTCTCATTCTCAATCTCCATTTTTCCTCCTCAGTTGGGTTAAGAGTAGTAATAGCCAAAATAGCAGAGCTGTCTTCATCACCAAAAACCTCCATCACTCTTTGCTTATTCCAGTTCTTCCCAGTGGCATCTAACAAATCCTTCACTAACAATTGATTGCAATTTTCTTCATTTAAAAGTTGTGGTTTTCTTTCCAGCACTCTCATTCACTTTTAAAGAGGCTCCATTTTTCACTTCCACCCTCAGCCATTCTTGCAATAGCCCCCTTATCTGCCACCAACATTTCCACTGCCAATAAAAGTTTTGGGTTAATTTAGCTTCAAAAATAGAATGTGTAGGAAAGTACATGCTCTTAATCACTTGACTCATCAATAATTCTGGTTGTCACTACCCTCCATAGCTGCTTCATCAGGATTGCTTCATTGAAGAGACTAACGTTCTTTGAAACCCAATCCTCCTCAGTCCTTTAGTGTTGTAACCAAACTTCATCTTTTCCAGTGTATGCACTGTGATCTGTCTTCACCTTTGCTCCACCAAAACTGAGCAAATAGACCAGAGATTTCCTTGCAAGTACCTACTGCAGCCTGAAACAGGTCATCACAAATATAGATAAGGCATTGAGTACTGCAGTAGCTAAGACCTCCCTTCCTGCAGCAGAGAGATAAATGTTCTTCCAGTTGGCAATCCTCTTCCTCACAGTATTCACTACATAGCTAAACACCTCTTTCTTGGACTTCATAATCCCCAGGGACAGTCCTAGATACATGGTAGAACTTTGTAGTTGGATACCATTAAGGACAACACAAACTCCTTGCTTCTGATCTGGTTAGGTATTCTTGCTGAAGAAGATGGATGATTTTATCAGATTGACTTGTTGTCTTGTAAATTGCTTATACATATAGAACATCTCAATAAGCACCCTGGCATCATGAGTGTCAGCCTTACAGAAAATCAAACTGTCATATGCAAACAACAAGTGAGAAAGGACAAGACCAATCTTTGCCAAAGACACCCCTCTAAACTGACCTCTATCCACTTGGTTATAATTAAAGCTGAGAGAAGTTCAGACACAGGAATAAACAGATATGGAGACAAGGGATCTCCTTATCTCAGACCCCTAGAAGCTCTACAATACCCACATGCTTCACCATTAAGCAGCACAGAAAAGGAAGAGGTAGAAACACATGTCATAACCCACTGCACAAATTTCAAACCAAACCTCATTCTCAACATTGTTTGATTTAATGCACTTCCATTCAATTCTGTCATATGCTTTTAGCATGTCTAATTTCACTTCCATGTATATATGCTTCCCTGTTCTATGTCTATTCAAAAAATGAAATACCTTTTGGGCTATATCAACATTATTACTCAGCAATCTACCTGGTATGAAAGATGCTTGAGTTTTCCCAGTACAATGATTAAGACAATTTTTCAATCTCAGAGTCATAATTTTTGAAATCATCTTATACATTACTCCACACAAACTAAAATAGGTCTGAATTGACTGAACTCACTAGATTAATACAATTAGAGATTCGTGTAAGTAAGGTGTGATTCCAGTATCTTATCAATTTACTAGAACTGAAAAAACTCCCAATAGCATCACACAGCTCCAATTTAATCAATGGCCAGAAATGTTGAAAGAATAAAGCAGACATGCCATCTGCATCTGGTGCTTTCTTGGGGCTCATGCTGAACAAAGCATGCTTGATCTCATCTTCAGTAAAAAGAGCTTGCATGTCTTTATTCATCTGTGGAGTAATTGAGGGTGTGATATGATGCAAAAGCTTCTGCCCACAAGTGGATCCCTCAGTAGTAAACAATTTTTCATAAAAAGAGGAAATATCTTCTCCCAGTTCCTCTTTAATTTCACAGATGCAGTTTTTCTTAGTCACCAGCCTGCTAATTGCAATATGTTTTCGTTTTTGTAGCACATAGGCATGAAAAAAATGTGTATTTCGATCACCTTCTTTGAGCCAATGAAGTCTGGCCTTCTGTTACCAAAACATCTCCTCAGAACAGTAAGATTGCTCCAGTTCCCTTTTAATCTGGTCCCACTCTTCCCAATTTTTATCACATGCAGCATTTCTCATTTCTTCCAGTTAGGGTTAGCCTCTTCACCTTGCTATCCCTCTCAGATTTGAAGTTTTTACTCCACAGCAGCAAAGCCTCTCTGGTTTTCTTTACACTCTCTTTAACTCTATACATTGGAGTCCCTGACTGATTCTCAATCCAGGCCTTGTTGATCACTTCATCAATCCTAGCACTTCGAATCCATCGACTGTCAAAGTGAAATCTACTCTTACTTTTCCGAACACCAGGATTAGATTCCACCACCAACATACAATGGTCAGGTGATACTCGAAAATTGGATGTAACTTGTGTGTTAAGGTACACACTTAACCAATTTTAAGGGATAACATTATCGAGACAAGTTCAGTCTTAGTTTTTAAGAACCGAGAACATTTCTTCTTGATAACTTCTTTTGTAAAGTGGTACTCCGAACATTTTGAATTCTAGGTCATGAATTGTAATTTTGAATTGAACATCGACTCGGGGTTAATCGTAATCTTTTCTTTTCATTTTATCTATGAATATGAGTAATGTTTTTATATGAATTTGTGGTATTCATGTAAAATTATGAGTCAAATTTAATTACCAGTGATAGCCGATAACATAAGCCCCAATGCGCCCCGAGAAAGGAGTGGAGGGTCGCCTTCCGAGCTGTAATCTCGACATCCGATTCACTATATATATGGTTAATGATGTCATATTCTTTGGGAGAAAAATTTTCCACATGTTTTGATTTATTTATGTTCTAGAAGATTTCATTTTTATTTGACTTTTATTAAAAATTTATGCTTGATATATGAACAAGAATTTTTTAATCATGTCACTAGATATGATAATACAAACTTGTTATAAACTATATAAGTAAATTTAAAGAAGAAATAGTTGGTAAATTTACAATAAAAGTGTATTTTTTATTAAAAAAAAAATCACTTTTTAAATGGATCATATTTATGAAATGAGTTTAAAAATTTGTGGTATATATGTAAATTAGCCTTAAAAAATCGAGAGTTTATAATAGGTAAAATTTGAGTTCAAATGTAAGTTAAATCGGGTTCACTAAATGCCACCTGTGTGAGTAGCATTCTCTTCCGTTGGATGGAAACATGCTCTCAAATGATATCAAAATTATTTTTTTATCTTCTTTTACAAGTACCAAGTTAGTAGTTACATATGATGATGGCAGTTTAACTAGTTATCATGCAAAAATGGCCCCATCCATGATACATAAAACTAGTTCAGAATAAATTCGATCCAATCAGCCGGGCAATGTAAAGACTTAAACCAATTATGCTGTCTGATACCCAGATCACAACATCGGAGCAATATCGTTTGTAAACACAATGTAATAATGTTTGACAATGGCCACAACCTTCCTAGAGAAAATTCATCCATCCTCGTGACCGATCTATATGGTGTGACAAATGTAGACATCAATGATCCCCAGGCAACGATTTGATTATATCCGAGTCACCTGATATTATTACTCCGTATGTTAAGTAACCAGGCTTGCATTTACAAAAAGAACATAAAGCACAACTCTAAACTACAGCAAATAAAGTATAGGTATCATCAAACCTATGTTAACTAACCAGGCTTGCATTTACAAAAAGAACAGAAAAGCACAACTCTAAACTACAGCAAATAAAGTATAGGTATCATCAAACCTGGGTCGACGATACTGAGGCATGACACTCGGAAATATTTCCCGCATGCAGTTCCAAGATCGACATTGTCTAGAACACAAAACCAAGACATAGTTTACATAAACCGAAATAATAAGGGTCTGTCTTGAAAATATATTAAATAGTAAATACTTAACTCACCATGAGAAAAACAAGAATCTTGCGAAAAAAATTATGCAGAGTATAAGGAAATGTTAATTTTCAATACAAAGGTTTAAACAGAGCAACAAGCCGCTAGCAAGCAGCACAATTTCTAGACTCCAAACAAACAAGCACATTTTAAAAAATCAAACAAGGTCCTTCAAAACATGACATACAAATGAAAGCTAAACGACACTGCAGTGCGTGGTAATATAGTTCCATATCACAACATCTAATGAAAGAAACACGATTCGCATCAGAATCCGCCTACACAGCTTGCACAAAGAGATGAAAGTACTTGACCATCACAACCTGGACCAAATTTAGAACAACATGAAGCATTGTAAAAGCGTAAATAGTCGAAACTCACTTCCATTGTAATGATGGACACCAACTTTAGCAAGCATGGCATAGTACTCAATCTCAGACTTCCTCAATGGCGGGCAATTGTTCGATATCAAAATCAACTTACCTGCAAATTCCCAATGCCCCAAATCCATCAAAACCATATCTTTTCGAAACATATATAAAAAGAACAAAAGTTCAAAAACAAAGATCAGACCTTTGGAGTTCCTGAGGGTCTTGAGAACGGTCTTGTAACCAAGAGTGTACTTCCCACTCTTCATTACAAGAGCTAACCTATTGTTAATGCCCTCATGGCTCTTTTTCTGCATCGACCAAATTTTATCATTAATAACACAGATTATTCATTTTCTCAATCAAATAAGGTTAAGTTTGATAACAAATTTACTATGTAATAGAATCCAACAAGTGTATATGATGATAGGAAAAGAGATACTTACAGATTTCTTGCCGGCGGCCACCATTGTTAGGCGGCGGCGTAGAGATGCAGAGTGGGGAGTGCCACGGGGCTGCTTTGTTGCTAGGGTTTAAGCATTTGGGTGTTTGTAAATCTTAGTAGGCTTATGTTGGGCCAAAAGGAACATAGGCCCAGATTGTGTACTTGGGCTACCCAATAGCTCATATTGTTTTAGAAACAAGCAATGGATAGAAGTCGAATAAGTGGACTAAACTATGACATAACTAATTACTTTTTCTAGTATTTTGCATACCTTTCACTTACATATGTATCCACCAAAGTGTGTGAATTGTGTTTCCAAGGCAATAACAAAATAAATAAATAAATAAATAAATAACTAAATAAATAGGTGAATATAAATAAATAAGTAAATAAATAAATAAATAGGTGAACATAAATGTACTATAATTACAAGAGAAAA